CTTTTACTTTTAATAAAATGTTTTAGGATTGAGTCACTTCTAATAGGAGCAGTTTTTTTCAGGTATAGCTAATTGAAAAGCTGGATATAGTACTGATTTACTGTGATTTTTTAAAACTGTTTAGTTCACTGCAATTTTACCAGTTTTCAAAACATTTCTTTTTTTTTTTGGTTTGAGACAGAGTCTTGCTAGGGCCTTAAACTCACTATGTAACCCAGGCTGGCCTTAAACTCCTCTTGTCTCAGCCTCAAGAGTGCTGAGATTTGGGCTGGGGATTTAGCTCAGTGGTTCCGCTGCCTGCTTCTCAAGCACAAGGTCCCGAGTTCAAACCCCACTACCAAAAAAAAAGTGCTGAGATTAAAAGTGAGAGCTACCACTGCCCACAAAGCTTTTACTTCTAATCTCCCATTGCTAATAAATTATAATGAACTACAGAGAACCTTACACAGTGCCTGATAGATGGCCATCAACAGCTTGAAAAAGCATAGCATTAACATAATTTGTCATTAAAAGTTTTAGGGCCAGGGATTTAGCTCAGTGGTTCAGGCACCTGCCTTGCAAGCGCAAGGTTCTGAGTTTGATCCCCGGTACCAAATAAATAAATAAATAAATAAATAAATAAAAAGATATTCTTAACAGGTAGTGTTCATAATGGACTCCCGACTGTTCATTACCTATATAGTTTATGAATAATGGTATAGTCATATAATGAGTCTCATCTACACCAAACTGACCAGTACAATATATAATGGTATTAGGCCAATAATACAAAGTTTAAAAACTGGCAAAACAGGGATATATACCCATTAAAACCACAGAGAGGTGGGCAGCACATGATTAGGGAAGGGTACAAGATGCTTGAATGCTGATATTGTTCTACTGATGGTCATATAAGTATTTTAAAATCACTTGTGAAACTGTATATGTGTTTTACATTATACTCTTTTCTGGATACACTGTATGTCACAATTTAGAAAAGTGAAACAATAAAATATGTAACTCGATGTCCACTTCTGTTTGGTACTTAAAAAACACTGGACTTCATTTAAAGGAGATGAGATAATTTCAAGTGTCTGTCATTATTCCAGTTGCAAACCTTCGCAATCCAGGTTAAGAGTCATTACCTTCTGCAAGCCTTCCCAGCATGTCTTCTACTCCCTCTACCACTCCTTCCCAATCATCTGAGTTAGATGCTTTCCTTTTTCTCCCTTAGTATCCACAGCATAGTTATGTGCATAACACACTGTGCTGTAATAGTCTGCTGAATTCCTGCTTCAAATTCTTATCTCTTCAACCATCTCTATGCCACTAAGATCATAAATGATCTCAAAAGCACAGACCATTTATTGTTCTCTCTATATAGCCTGTGCCATATGAGATTTTTACTACAATTTTTTGTGACATATGAGAAATGTGATGAAAAGCTTTTATTTCACAGTGCGTTGTTAGTATTCAATAAATGGCATTACTAAGAAAAAGCGTTGTAAGAATAGGAAGAGAATTTAAAAAAATCCTCATACTGTAAAGGTAAGGCTAAAAAATTATCAACAAACATCAAAAGCATTAATAGGCCCCGGGGATTTAGCTCAGTGGTTTTGCCGCCTGCTGTGCAAGCACAAGGACCTGAGTTTGATTTCCGGTACCAAAAAAAAAAAAAAAAAAGGCATTAATAGGTTTACCCTCTCATAGGTAAATTAAATATTCTAATATTTGAAAGCTTTTACACACACTAACAACTCAATTAAAAATATTTTTTTGGCAGTAGTGAAGTACATCCCCAACCTTTTGTTTGTTCGTTTTTTTGAGATAGGGTCTGGTTATACAGTTCAGATTGGCCTTGAACTCACAATGTAGTCTAGGCTGGTGTCAAACTCAGTGAGATCCTTGTGCCGCAGCTTCCCCAGTTCTAGGATCAGAGGTGTGCCACCATACCTGGGTAGTTACTTGGCTTTTAAAAAAAAGTAAGTAGCTTGGGCCAGGGATTAGCTCAGTGCCTGCCTTGCAAGTGCAAGGTCCTGAGTTCGATCCCTGGTACCAAAATCACACACAAAAAACTAAGTAGCAAAACTTCCATTTCTAAATTGTTATTATAACATTAAAAAAAGGAGGGCAAGTAACCACATGTTGACACACCTGATTAAGAAGAGCAGGAACAGGGGCCAGGGATTTAGCTCAGTGGTTCTGCTGCCTGCCTCGAAAGCACAAGGTCCCGAGTTCAATCCCCGGTACCAAAAAAAAAAAAAAAAAGAGCAGGAACAATATATTATACTAATGTACATTTACCTTAGTATGTAGAAGAATAACAAGCATTTAATGAGTGTTCCCAATCATAATGAATATTGATTAAACAGTATGAAAGATAAGAAGAAAATAAGAGTTGGGAATCAATTTTCTAAAAAAAAAAAAAAAAATCTTCCCTGATACTGGGGATCCAGTGAGAGCTAAGCTATATCCCCAACCTTTTTTTTTTTTAATTTTGAGACAGGGTCTCAATAAGTTTTCCAGGCTGGCCTTGAACCTGCAATCCTCCTGTGTCAGCTTCCTGAGTAGTTGAGAATACAATTATGTGCTACCATGCCTGAATCAATTTATTTTTAAAGATAGTTAAGTAATTAGCATTTTGTTATTTAAATAAATCAGATTGTTTTATCTCTACTATTCACTTATACATAAGCTATATCATCTTTTATTCTTTCTGAGACAAATAAAAGCTATAAATTTGTCAACTATCTTTGAAAATAAAACAGGGCTGAGGATGTAGCTCAGTGGTGCCATGCCTGCCTAGCAAGCACAAGGTCCTGAGTTCAATCCCCAGTACCAAGGGAAAAAAAAAAGGAAACAAAACAATCCACAGGTGGTTAATCATTATCTGCTCCTTTTATATATATATATATATATATCACCAATATTTTGAGTACTCACTATGGTTACAGTTCTTAATGAAGGCCTTTGTTTTTTATTCTTTCTAAAATTTATATTAACTATTATAAATTTGTGAACAAAGAGAAGTCCAAAGGCAGTTTCTCAATGGCATAGAAGTTAAAATTCTACTGGGTGTATATAGCTCAGTAGCAGAGCACTTGCCTAGCATGCAAGAGGCCCTGGGTTTGATCCCTAGCACTAAAAAAAAAAAAGAAAAAATTTTACTGTTTAGGGACAGGAGGAAATTAGTCCTATTCAAAACTCAAACCAAATGGTTTTTAGCTCTTCTACGGTCAGTGAATGTTTCCTATGTACTGGTTAACTATTTTAAACTGTATTTATATCACCTAAAATTCAGTTCTATTCTGACATTACCTTGGAGAGTTGATCTTATTTTTGCATTTTATTTGTCTTTTATAAAACTGAGGCCTAACGAACTTACTTAGCAAACAGGAAAATATACTTCTATGCAAGATTTTCTGATACACCATGACTTGGTCAAGTATATACCCATGTCTCTAATATATACTTTTTTTGGGGTGGGGGGTACTGGGGATCAAACATGGGACCTTGTGCCTGTGAGGCAGGTGGAGGAACCACTGAGCTAAATCCCCGGCCCTCTAATATATACTTTTAAAAATACACAGGCTATAACAAGTTTTATTCAAGTTAGTAATTTAATGGGACAAAAAATAGAGAAGGGAACATAGTAAGTAAATATAACCTATGAAGTATAAGAAATAAGGATATTCTGAAGTCAAAGAATCAACACAGAAAAGATGTTACTATGTATATACAGGGAAATTATTTCTAGCTAAGGACAACTATCAAAGCCAAATTTAGTATTTTTCTATATAAAGTAACATTTAAATTTTATAGGTTTTCAAAATGAGGCAAATAGTACACCTTTATTTTTGGTATTTACTTAAAATTTTCTTGGAAAGGTAACAGATTTTTGGCTGGCCTTTAACTCACTATGTAGCCCAGGCTGCCCTTGAACTCTTGGTGATCCTATTGCCTCAGCCTCCCAAGTGCTGTTATAAGCACGCACCACCACACCTGGCAGAAAACAGATTATTCAAAATATATATGTTCTGGGCTGGGGATTTAGCTCAGTGTTGCTGTACCTGCCCTGCAAATGCAAGGTCCTGAGTTTGATCCCCGGTACCAAAAAAAATAAAATATATATGTTTTTATGACATTTTCATGAGGGAAGAGGGTGATGAGAAAGCAGTACAAAGTTAAATTACAAATGAAGGATAATCTACACAACTACTAGAAAAACTAGGGATAGAGCTGGGTATGGTGGCCCATGCCTGCAATCCCAGCACTCAGGAGGCTGAGGCAGGAGGATTGCTGCAAGCCTGAGGCCACCCTGGGCTACATATTGAGTTCAAGAGCAGCCTGAATGACATAGTGAGATCCTATCCCAAAAAACTGAAAAAAAGAAAAAAAAAAACCAGGAAAATATCTAGTTATATCATAAGACTTACTATTTCAAGACCAACTATAAAATATATGCTCTGTTAATAAGAAGAAATTGAGAAAAGAAAAAAAGTTGGAATTACTTTTTAAAATTTTCTAAAATTGAAATAATCCTCATAAAGTATTAATATTTACCTTCTAAAGATCCACATAAGAGAATGAAAAAATTACTTCTGTTATACAAAATCTACACATCATTTATCTCTGGAAGACAGCTAATCACACAAGTTCCTTGTCTTTTCATTAAGACTTCCTCCCGAAAGCTCAAGACTTTAATGTGCGGGCTCTCTTTCTTACTTTAATAAGAGGTTATTATTTCATCATCAAACTGACTTGGGAAACTATAAACACAAAACTTTACACTATATTATCCTCTCCTGTGTCCTCTATAATTTTGTAATTACATTATACTTCAAGTAATTATACTTCTGGATTTTTCCTCTTTAAGTATCAGTCACCATCCCAGATTCTTCCATCTCCAAGATGGCTGTAGTTCAATTCTAAAATCCACTTACCATTAACAAAAACATTCCATCAGATTACCTCTCAAAACATTCCAACATTTGGGTTTTAGCAAAACCTAACTGCATTACCTCCTTATCTTTTAGTCCCAGGAGCAATACTTCTTCCATAAGAGTGAGGCGGATGTCCTTAGAGTCTCCAGAATCTTCATTATCCAGACTCCTCTCTTGATTGGTGTCTTCCTCACTTTCTACCTTCTTTTCAGAATTCTTGCTTACTTCAGTGCGACGGGTCCGGTGAGTTAATGTGGTCATTCTCACCTGTTTCTAAAGGAAGTGGTGAAAAAAAATCTTAGGTGTGCTTACATAATAAACACTTATAGATATTCATATATACAAATTAGTATGTACTAATAGGAAGTATTTACAGTCAAATATATTAAGGAAGAAGTAATAACCAGTGGCTGGGGACACAGCTCAGTGGTAGAGTACTTGACTAGCATGCACGAACTCCTAGGTTTAGTCTCCAATACCACAATAAAAAATTAATTAATGACCAGAAAAATTAAGTGTCCAACACAGTATCATTCTCAAAGTACAAAAGCTTAGACTCCACAAATGGCAATGACTAGGGACCAAATCAGTAATTCTAACATCCAGTAGAAATGACCATCTTTTAAGTATGGTGATTTCTTGCAAATCAGAAATAAATGTCCTCCATTGTTACTTCTCTTTCACAAAATGGATCCCCAATATGGAACAGGAAAAAATTATGGGGACGTAATGCACACAATTTATATATAACTTCTGTAACATTCAATGGTACTACATTATGAGATATACACAAAGAGCTGTGGTAGTGTTTGCCAGCAAGCACAAAGCCTTGGGTTCAATCCCCAGAACCACAAAAAATAAAATAAAATAAAATTTAAAAATACACAAAATATAGAAAGTAAAAAAGAACAAGATAAACTAAATAGAAATATGTTTTGGGCTGGGGATTTAGCTCAGTCGTTCTGCCACCTGCCTCGCAAGTGCAAGGACCTGAGTTTGATCCCTGGTACCAAAAAAGAAAAAAAAAAAAAAAAGAAATATGTTTTAATATTTTCTTCCTATACTTTGTGACTCATTTCATCCACTCACTTTGGAGATCACTAAGCTACAGAATAACCCTCAGAAAATTGTGTAGTAGTTCCACAGAGGAGACTTAGCATCTCTAGCCCTAGCTAGTCATTTTGTGAATATACAAATAGCTGCCAACAAGAAAAACTAGCAAAAATATTAAAAGATTAGCAAATTCTTTCTCAATTAAAAAAAAAGGCTGGAAGTGTAGCTCAGTAATAGAGCATGTACTTAGCATGTGAAAGGCCCTGGGCCTATCCTCAGCATTGAAAGAAAAATGAAAAAATCAAAACACATGTCCTTTTATAACATGGACAACAGTTGTTTAAAATAATCTAAATAATTAATGATAAAGTTTCAAGTTAGCATGTTTTATACAAATCCAGATGTCCATTTTTAAAACACAACAGGGCCGGGGATGTAGCTCAGCGGCGCTGTACTTGCGTGGCAAGCGCAAGGTCCTGAGTTTGATCCTCAGTACAGGAAAACAAACAACAAAAACCCCCAAATATTCTAAATCAGCAATTATGTAAAAGACTATCTTTGAGCTCAAAAGAACAGTACCTTAAGTGCTGCTCTGACTGAACTTGGTTCTACCTTCTAACAATATTTCCCATTGCTCCCAATATGTAGTTATCAAACATTTTTTTTAAACATGTCTTTCTTTTTTCCGCTACTTCTTTCCATTTGATAAGGGTTATCTCCCTTTTCCCTTCCTAAATTTCAACTTTCTTCAAAGGCATATCATCTATAAAAGACCTATTGGGAAGCCTTAAATGAATCTCTTCTATCCATCATCCATCTCCCCTACGGCCAGAATTGGTTTCTCCTTCAGCTGTATTTTCACAAAACTTTATACTTACTTCCTTTAAAGTATTTATTATAGTGGTGCCACCGCCTGCCTTGCAACTGCAAAGTCCTGTGTTCGATTCCTGGTACCAAAAAAGAAAAAAAAGTTGTATCGTAAAGTATTATAGTCTCTCTTTTGGTATGGCTGTCTCTCAACTGCACACTTCTTGAGGGCAAGGATATTGTCTTCTTGGGTTTTATATTCTCCATAGCAACTAGCACAATATCTTTTAACACTGTAACTGCTCAATAAATATACTAATTAAAATGAATACTCAGAAATACATGTGAATATTTAACACAGAAATACAAATGAAGTGACTTATAAAAGGTTCTTTGTACAAGGGTATATTTTAAATATAGTATAACATTTGGTGGGAGGCAAGAAAGATGAAGGAGGAACACAACTACAGAATAAAAGTTTCTGAGCACTAACCTTATTTGGCACTGAATTGGGATTATTTCCTAATTTAATCCAAGAAACTTTAAACCTTTAGGGGGAAAAATAAAGAGGAATTTTCTTTCAGTAATTAATTTTCTCTGGATAGTTGGCAGTTAAAATTCCTATTTGATAAAACAAATGGCCAAGCATTAGTAAATAAAGCCCACCCTTTATTAAAAAAAATTAGCAGTTTTTTTATGTTAGGAAATCTAATTTTCCCGTTGCTTACCTGAGATTACTCCTGGCTTAGGGCTGGAGGCAGGCTGGAGCTTGCGCTCTATTTTAGGAGGTCACCTGTTCCCTCCACCCCACCCCTGTCCTACTAAGTGAAAAACTTCTCAGCAACGAAGACAGCACAAACTTCCTGATCCTTAGATTGCAAGAGGGAATAACACATCAGCTTCCTTAGGATCACTAGGCAACCTACCTTGGTGTTTCTTCACAGGACCAATCAGAAACCATTAAGAATGAGTTCAGCCAATTGGAGCTTACAAGGGGAGGGTCTCCCTGGCTATTGTGTTGCGATCCAGACAAACATCTCTAAAAAGAGGCAGGTTTAAATTCAACCTGACAGCTGATCAATCCAATGAGAGAACTTTGGTGGAAAAGAAAAGTGGGCTGCACCCTCCAACTCTATTAAATAAGCCAATCACAGGGTCCACTGAGCTAACAAGGACTGCCAACCCAAAAGCTTTCTGTTGACCAATTTCAGAGTAGCAGGTGTGTTACTGTAGCAGTGCATACTGGAGAAACATTAAGAAGTGCTGGGATCCAAGCAGTTAAGAATAAACATTTTAAAACTGGTTGCTTCTGACACCCAGTTTTATCTGACTGTTCCAGAAAAACCTGATCTGAGCCAGTCTGTGGACGTTTATTTGGTTTACATTAAACAGAATAGGTACATTTTTTACCATATGGTATGTATCACCATTCCCTAGGTTGTGCTTGTTACTGACAAGTGCATGGCTAATGTACATGGAATATGGCTGCTGAAACTACTAGAGGCAAATAGAAGGCGTTCTAAGCCTTCCTTTTCTAAAGCAATGGAAAAAAGAAATAGCAAGGCTGGAATGCCCTAGGATCTAGTTTTCTCATTAAAAATGCTGTGTCTTTCACACTTCCACAACAAAGTATGCTTAGCATTTTTTTTTTTCTATCGAGGATTGAATTTACACTTTTTCACTGAGCTACATCCCCAACCTGCCCTCCGCCTTCTTTTATGGTTTTAAAAAATGTGAGACAGGGTCTCACTAACTCCCTAAATTGCCCAGGCTGGGCTTGAACTTGAGATCCTCAGGCCTCAGCTTCTTAGAGTGCAGGGCAAAATTAAAACCTAAATGGGTGTGGTGGTGCACGCCTGTAATCACAGCACTCAGGACACTGAGGCAGGAGGATTGCCACAGGTTTGAGATCAAGTTAGGTTTCATGGTGAGTTCAGGGTCAGCCTAAACTATATAGCAAGACCTTGAATCAACAAAAAATTAATACCTAAATACCTTCTGGTAATTAAATAAAAATTACAAGCCATGAAAGAACCTTGAAACTGAACATTTTATTTTGTCCTTAAAAAAAAATCAGTCATCTTTTTGTCCAGCAGTAAAAGTTTTTAAAAACTGAGTACCAATTTTTAAATTGTACACTATATATGTTAATACAATATATCAATATATTGAAGAACACCGTCTTAATAACAACACAATGACAAAACAGCTATTGTGGTACCAGGGATTGAACTTGGGTCCTTGTGCTTGCGAGGCAGGCAGCGGAACCACTGAGCTAAATCCCTGGGCTATGGTATAATTTTAACAAAAGGAAAAAATGAATTTTACAAAATTTTAATACCAAAATAAACATTATTTCAAAAAGTGGTTTGCATTATAGGGCCTTATGTTAATATAGATTTAAAGAAAGTGTCCACTAAAATGGAAGATAGATCTTATAAAGTAGACAATGAACAGCATCAATTACCACATTTGGTTTTGTTCCAAATTTCTCTTGGACTTATCTCAGGTAAAGTTAAGGACCAATCTGCATATACATTTTCAGAGGTAGGGAAGAACACACCTTAAAATAATAATAGAGCATCTTTTACTTTAAATAATGAGAAGAACTTTCCAAATGTACAGAGGAAAAGTAATTTTTATATATGTTCTTTTGGTTCACTGAACTTTCTCCTTTTTGGCACAGACTCTTGACTAGAAAAATCAAAGTGATGGAAGACCTGTTAAAAGAAAACAACTATTAAGAATAGATTCTTTCTAGTTTAAATATCTTTTATTTTGCATCTTTTTAAAAAATCTTTCTGAGGTCTCTTTCTGGTTTTAAAAATTATACCTACCAGGGCTGGGGAATTAGCTCAGTGGTTCCACCGCCTGCCTGGCAAGCGCAAGGACCCAAGTTCAATCCCCAGTACCAAAAAACAAAAAACAAAAAACAAAAAAATTATACCTACCATACATAGGCGTTAACTATTTCCTATTAAGAAAGGGTACTTGTGGGGCCGGGGATTTAGCTCAGTGGTTTCGCCCCCTGCTGCACAAGCACAAAGACCTGAGTTTGATCCCCGGTACCAAGAAAAACAAAACAAAAACAAAAAGCCAAGGTCCCAAGTTCAATTCCCGGTATAAAAACAACAACAACAAGAAAAAAAAAAACAAGAAAGGATACTTGTGTTCTTTAAAAGTAAGGGTAAAACACTATTATTAAAATATACATCTTCAGATGGCTGCTGAAAATATAGGATGTGTGACAAAAATACCGTAAAGTTTTAGAAAAATTTATTATAGTAAAAGATATACTGTCATTAATCCCTCTCAAAATACACCCTCCTTGGGGCCGGGGATTTAGCTCAGTGGCACTGCACCTGCCTCACAAGCAGAAGGTCCTGAGTTCGATCCTTGATACTAAAAAAAAAAAGAACCCCCCCGCCCCCACTTTAAACACACTTATCCCATTATTCTTTCCACATTATGAAACAGTTCTGGAAGTTCTCTTTCATGAGTGTCTTCAGTTGTGCTGGTGTGGCTGCCTCAATGTTGTGAACTGATGCAAGATGTTTACCTTTCATGGTCATTTTGACTTTGGGGAAGATCTGGAAGTCATATGGTGCCAGATCTGGTGAATAAGGTGGATAATGTTTTTCTTTTCCCGATTAACTTTACTGGTACATTTTAGGTATAAAATACAGTTACATTCATCATTGGGATCTTGTACCATTACATGAGTCTCTTGGTTCTTATTTTTTTTCCCCTTCCCTTGCCCACCCTTCCCTATTTGCAAAGACCTTGTTTCCATTTTTTTTTTCCTCTTCTCATATTTTTTCCTTTCCCTTTTTTCCCTTCCCCTACCTGGATAATGTTTTTACAAGCAAGGTTTTCTGCTAGATGGCACTCAGGAGCAGCATTCACTATAATTTTTATAACATCTTGTAAAGACACTCAAAAAAGAGGACTTCCAGTACTGTTTTAGAAGGTGCCAAGAATGATGTGATATGTGTGTTTGAAGTAAAGGGGAGTATTTTGAGAGACATTAATACAATGTGTCTTTCACTGTAATAAATCTTTTGGATTTTTTTTTTTTGAGACAGGGTTTTGCTATGCAGTCTATGCTGCCCTTGAACTCACTATGTAGGCCAGCTGGCTTCTCTCACCCTTCTTCCTGCCTCAGCCTCCCAAGTGCTGGGATTACAGGGGTGTGCCACCATGCCTGCCTTACTGTAATAAATTTTTAAATCTAAACATTCACCATATATTTCAATCACACTTCATATACTTATTAAGATCTTCAGGAGGGCTGTAAAAGATTTAACATTATATTCTCAAAATAGTGAAATATTTTGGTGGGATGAGAAGAAAAAGTATTTTGACTACAAATAGAAAAGCATTTGGATGGCGGATTTAGCTCAGTGGCATGCCTGCCTCACAAGCGAAAGGTCCTGAGTTTGATCCCCGGTTCCAAAAAAAAAAAAGAAAAAGAAACGTATTCAACCTTGGGACCATGCAACATTTATTCATTCATTCATTCTGGTACTGGGGATCAAACTCAAGGCCTTGTGCTTGCCAGGCAGGCACAGCTTCACTGAGATACATTCCTGGCACTCCTATCCTTTTGTTTTTGGTACCGAGGATCAAACTTGGGACCTTGCGCTTTTGAGGCAGTAGGTGGAACCATTGAGCTAAATCCTCCGCCCTTTCATATCTTTATTTTGTATCCCCTGTACTTAGTTATTTAGTAGTTCCTGATGGAGATCAGATATTCAATGCACAGTTTTGAATTTTTTTCAGAGTAGGCGACCAAACCCAGGACTTCACATGTGCTAGGCAAACATTCTACCACTGAGCAACACCTCCAACCCCAGTGTGCACTTTTGAATGAATGAGAGGATGACTTATAGAAATTCTAACAAGATTCCCTGAATAACTGTATCATGATTTCACTGGAAAACATTAAACTATGAATAACAAATTGGATTATGATTTTGTAAGAAAAAATGAAGGTGGAATACAGTGGTAAATTTTAATATGTTAATGAAATATCAAGTTATTCCACTCCCTTAAATTATGTAAATTGAAAACAGTATTAACCAACTATATATATATATATATATATATATATA